GCTTTTAACGCTTCCTTAAATTAGGTAATGAGATTTGGAATGAAATATTTCATTCCAAATTAAATTAAAATCAAATAGGAAAGGGTTTGAAAACTTTCCTAAAATAGTTTTTTTTTTTAATTAGGAAAGAATTTAAATTCAAATTCAAATAATTTTGAATTTTGAATTTAAACCTTCCTAAATTAAGAGTGTTTGCTTATGGAAAGTATTCAAGAGGGAGTTGAATTTGTGGAGGGAAGATGGGGAGGTGGGGTAGGGCCGGAGGCTTGGTGATGAAGGGAAAGGGAAAATTGGTAAAGAAGAAGAACCATAAACCCGGCCGTCTCCAAGATTGGTGGGGGATCCAAATTCTCTCTCCAACGGACCTTGCTCCAATCTCTCAAGTTCTAATAAGAACTCAAATAAGGAAAAAAAATTTATCATTCAATCATTAACATGAAAAGAAAAAAAGAGGGCTATATATAGTCTCGTACAAATGACTAAAAAAAAAGATGACGATGCCCTCAGGGCTTACATACGACATCCCTTAAGTAAGGGATAAAAAACGGAAACACTAATGAAGTAAATACAACATAACATAATAAAGAAAATATTTAATACGACTCAGAAGTACATCGACTCAATCGTGGCCGTAGATCAACGGCCACGTCTCTGATAAACTTTCCAAGCTCTGATATCCTCATCACCTTGTGTCTGTATGACCTCTGTGATTGTTGTCTCTAGATCCTTGGTCTACATCATCTCCTTTTAGAATTTGATGATGAAGCTTCACATTGATTCACCAAACTCTTGCCTTATCTTCAGTATAAATTGTGAGCTTTTGTGTGGTTTTTGAGTGCTCGCAAACTGCGTGTTGAATTTTTTCTTTAACTTATGAGTAGTCACCCCCAATGATAGGCGGGAAAATCATCCAAGTGTGAATTCCTTAAAGGTGGCGAAGAACAATCGACGCTTCAAAGCGTCGTTGATGTTCATTAGTGACATCATAAACTCAAAATAGGCCAAATGGTCAACGGTTGCCCTCCCCTGCTATGATTTTAGGTGAGGCATTTTGAACTTGGCAGGCGGCCTCGCCTTTGTGATCCCTAAAGAATGCGTTGGTTAGTTATGATTCTCTCCTCACTCACTTAGGCAGAGGATTATTCTCATTGTCATTGATGTAGCTGTGGCTATGGTTAGCATTAGTGCAGTTAGTTCCCTAGTCTCAGGTCTCCTTTGGCGAGTTGCCAAGTCAGGCGATTCTTATGGGATACCCTCCCTTGAGGCATTTCTCTGAATTCGCTCAGTGTGTCTTAAATCAGCTTTGTGTTTCTTACTTCCATCTCAGTTAAGTCAATGTGGATAATGTAGTTTTGGTTATTCATGTTCAAAGATGACACTTGGCTCTGCTGCTCTTCGCAACATGCTTATCTTTTGATCACTATCATCAATGAACTTATATTATATCTTGGAGGATGTTGAATCCAAATTTGTGTAGATGACATTTGATCGTACTACTAGGTTTTTGGTAGATTAGAGCTAGAGAACTAAGCGAGGGAAGCTAGTGAGTATGGAGAGTCAATAGAAAGTTATAATATCTTTGTAAATACTTCCAATAGCGTGATGCTTTAAAATGTGTTTATTCACCACTTATTTGTAGGATTCGATTGCTACAGGAATGGCTACACCTTGAATAAATTAAAAAAATACAAGATGTGAATGATATTGACTTTGACATGTGGACTAGTTAGATGATGTACCCGTGCATCCCTCTCTCTGATGTGGCCCCGCTACTCTCTTGTGAATGCTTTGGATAAGTCTTTGAGAGTGAGTGCCTTAAGTGAGTCTTTGGGATTTGACATATGAGGCGAGTCCCGAGGAATGATTTTCTAGTCCTAGGGTGCAATGGGTGAGCTTGTGAAGACTAATCTCTAGGAATGATTATTGAGCTATGATGTACAGATACGTACATGTGATACATCAATTATTAATAATATAGGATACAGGTTGAACACGATATTATCAATTTTATATCTTAAAAATAATGTATAGAAATTGAGCAAGCAAAATATTAAGAATAATTAAAAAATAATAAATCATTTAACTATGATTTATGCTTAAAATGATTAATATTATGATGTCGAGAGTTGGACGTTTATGTAGTGTTTCAAGTGTCGAGAGGGGAGGCGACAATGCTGTTAAGAGTTGGGAATCAAGCATTGATGTCGAGATAACGTCGGTCGTCTATATTGAGATGATGTTGGTCAAAGATGAAATGTTGATACAACGCGGGTGCGTGATTGTTGAGGTAGAAATTGCTATAATCAAGTTTTGATTTTCATATTGTTTTAGAACATTGATGTTGTGATGGTGTCGAACGTCGATATTGCTATGACATTGGACGTTGTTGTGAAACCATAACTGCGATTTGCATATAGAAATGAAAATGGTATGTTCGGGGAAATGGATATTGAGTGCAGATAATTATTTTGGTGCTGTTAAGACGAAATAAAAATTTTATTTTTACATTTTTTAATGAATAAAAATATAAAATATAAGAAATTATATTAAAATATTTTATAAATTATTTAAGACATGGATGCCCAATTTATTTTTAATTGGACACATGTTCGGCATGTATGATACCATTGATACGTATTAGAGGCGTGTTGTATCTGATACGTGTCGGACACTGCATATCTCATTAAGAAGAAGTATCAGTGCATCATATTTGTTGAGTCCTAGGGTGCAAGGGGTGAGCCCCCCTCGGTGGAAGTAACTATAATACAAAGAAGAGTTCTGTTCAGTTAGTGAAGTTGTAGTCATTGGCTTTTGAGGCGTATACTTCTTGTATCTTGATTGGGGATGTTTGTGATAATTGAATGGCCTTGATTGCTGACAGTTGTTGCAAGAGAGCGGGTTTTGTTGAGGTGAGTGATCCTTAGGGTGTAGACTGGTTTGGGCGAGTCCTTTAAAGGAGCTCGTACCCTTGGTTTGATCTTCCAGTGCGAGTCTGCAAGCTATGATCTCCGCGTAGGGGAATGGTGATATGTCCATGGGCTGGTGCTAGTGACTGCTATTTGATCTCACTGATCAAGGCCTTTGACATGAAGTTATTTAGATAACTGCGAGTTACATACATGGGCATGTATGAGTATGCAAAACCCATGAAGAAATTTGTCATTTATTGAGTTTATTTATTTATATCATGAAACTAGATTGTGAAAGCTAAGATGATATTTAAAATTACTTTTTTGTAATGGTGTGAAGATAGGCAAAATTTTAAGTTGTAGGTTGTTTTTGTATTTTGATTTGATATCTTCATTTAAGATTTCATTAAGATTCTTGCAGATCACGTAGTGGGATAAAGACATAATGTTGTTGTTGTTGTGTTCAGTTATCATGTAACCTCAAAAAAAAATTCAAATCAAATTAAAAGCTAAATATAAATTATGTCCAGCAAAATTATTTGTTATGAATGAAAATAAATTTTAATTATATGTTAAAAGTCAAAATTCTAACAAAAAATGATAATTTTGATTTAAAATTAAGAAATCGACTTGAAAATTGAATCAAGTTTGAGCTTTTCAAATGATTTTGTGCAGTAAATTAGAGCTCAAGCCTAACATTTTTTAGTCGAGGGTTCAAGCTATGGATGAATTAAATGGCTTAGTTCAATGTAGCAATTACTCGACTCGCTTACACCCTCAGCTTCATCCACAGCTAGAACCAATGAAATTGATGTCGCCCTTGATGAGCACTCCAATCAATGACCTTTGCCCCATTTTAGGGCGCTCTGTTGACCATGAGAACTGCGGCCTCACAAAGGAAATGTGGGAACTCAAGGAATGTAGAGTGGTGTTGGGTTAGGGCTTAGTTCCTCCTTCCTCAAATAAAAATAAAACAAACCTATGGTGAAGCTATGAAATATATTTTTATTTATTATCAAAGTAAAAATAAAATCGATTTAAAACCTAAAAAGGTGATCCCAAATAGCCTATCTCATGCTATTTTATTTTATCACGTTATGTCAAATTAAATGGTTTGAAGAGAGACATTTGGTGCTAAACTTATTAGGCTACGTTAGTGTTTGTTGCAGTTATTTTTGAATATTTTCAGTTTATTTTACTCATAATCCTATAATTAAAATTCTTGAACTTCTATTTTTATAATTTTTCTGAGTGCTGCTCTGTTTTCAAGATGTTCTACATGATTGCACCGACTGTAATATGTTTTGAATTTCATATGCATACTACAGAGTTATGCACACATGCATTAATTAAAGTTTATTTCTCATTTTTTGGAAATGAATCACTGTATAGAAGTTGCATCATAATTGCATCTTTCATATTTTCAGGTTAAGTAACCAATAAAATTTACAGCATCTACAAATTCCATATTCACTGTTTTCCAAGATCATGAAACTTTTTATTTCTTTTCTATTTGAAAGAATTGTCATGCAGAACTGCAGAAGAATATGCCATCTTGATATTGTTCTATTGATAAGACTGGGTCGTGGGGAACATGTGAAACTTAATTCCATTTACAAGAATGGAAAAGAAAAAAGAAAATAAAGAATATCAAGATTTCATATAGGTTCACCCAATTGATGATTATGTCATATTATCATCTTTGGGGATTTCATTATGATTTAATTGTGGAAAAGTATAAGTTAAATTTTTCTTATATAATACATAAGATGATGCTTCTCTATTTATAAAAAATTTAACGTACTCAAAAACTATAATAACAGTCTAAAATATGACTCAAATATTGAAGGTCTCAGAAAATCTGTATGATATATTTTCTCTGTGGGATAAAAATTTTATTCCACAGCATTAACACTTACACTATTGAACATTTTCAAGATGTTTTGCACAATTGCATCAACTGTAACATGTTATGAATTTCTTATGCATATTACAAATGTACATGCATTAATCAAAGTTCAGTTTCTCATTATTTTGGAAATGAATCAGTGAATAGAAGTTGCATCATAGTTGCATCTTCCATTTTTTTAGGTCAAGTTACCGATATGATTCAGAGCCTCTACATATTCCACATTCGCTTTTCTCCTGGCAGAGATTGATTTACTAGAGGGCTTGACAATGGAAGAGGTACCGACATATTCCCTGAAAAAAATGGAAAAAAAGAAAGAAAAAAAACAGATGCTCTTCATCTTCTTCTATTTTTCCCTTGATGTTTGGCTATGTTATGCATGCTTCTTCTTCTAATTTAAATACTCATTGCACCTCTCCTTGTCAAAGTAAAAGCTGTTTGTTTACTGGAATACTCATCGCACAGCACAGAGTCAGTGCTGACATCTCTGAAATGCAAAGTTCAGGCATTTGTACAGGGAAGTTGTATGATTTAGGTCTTGGAGACTGATGCAGAACTGAAAGATTAATACTGACTCAGATGGGATTTAGGATAACGAAGAAGATTAGGAGGTAAGCATACGCTGGAATATTAGAAAGGTTTGAAGAGCGAATGATCCATGAACCCATCCTGGAAATAAGCTAAGAGTTAGGTCATTGAGCAGTTACTAATTTGAGTGTCAGAGGCTTTTCCTAGGTACAAACTTTCTGTTTGAGTGTTGATGTCTTAGTTTAGCTGGTTGTAGCTTGGACGGGTGTTTTGGGAGAGGAATAGCTTTATATAAATGGCCTTTTCTTTTTAATTTCATCTACTGCTATATATCAAAACTTATCAAAATGTGCTGTCTCAATTGAAATAAAATCAAATCAGTCCAAATCAAATGTAGCTTGACTTTACAACAGATTAAAACGATTTTAGAACATAAAATTTAAATGAAATAAAAGACTAGATTCAATTTGAATCAAAATTAATGAGCTATACCTCAATTAAATTGGTCTCAAATTGAGGCAGTCTATAGCCAAATTTAGCTTAGCCTCTTCTTATTGTTTTTTAAAGTAGTTTTTTGGTTTAAAAATTTTTTGAATTAAAAATTTTTTACTAGAAAGCTGCTTTAGAAAGCAGTAAGAAAGCCGTCTCAAACGAAAAGCCTAAATTAAAATGATTTTAAGCCTAGATTGATCTTAAGTTATAGTAGCTCTCTCACAGCTTAAGCCAATCATTTTACAACTCCAGAAGCAGCAGTTAGTGCTTTCTTTTGGGCATTCTACTGAAGGTAAAATAGGATAAAGCTTAAATGAAAAAAAAGGGTGAAAACTTATATCCACATGTTATAAAATAATAATAATAATAATAATTTTAAAAACATCAAGATCCGAAATATAAAGATCGAAAGTAACGGCTACCAAGAGAATAAGAACAAATGGGGTTGTTAGTCACAACCACACTTTGTCCAGGTTTGCTGCCTCATTAGCCTTACAGCTTTAGGTCTTAATAACATTCCCACGGAAACACGTTATTTGCTTCTTGTTTTGTGTATAACTTGATGCTTTAATGCTCGCTACAGAGTTTAAACAATGCAGTGACGCCGGAGCTGAGTATGTCATGGCCACGGGAGCACTATTAGAAACTTCAGCTAAATTTGTTAGATTCAATTTTCCCTTTTTCTGTATAGCTTTTAGTGTGACCATTGTATGTATAAATAAGTTGGCTTTTGTGAATAAAGGCAGAGTATTTGAGTTTAATTTCTTGTTTCGTTTTCCTTGGGGATTACGTCTGTATCCGGCCACGGGTCCGATGGTGGTGATGTTTCCTGCAGTCTGACGGTTCTGCCGACAAAGGTATTGGTTCGCTGAGAGTTCGTCACTCACAATCGACCGCCTTCCAGGGAGGTGCTGTTCGGACGTCGTCGTCCGAGTTGGATAGTGACGCGACTGAAGAAGTTGTCCGGAGTCAAGCAGCCTAATAAACTAATCAGTAGACGACATCATGAACCAGCTTGCATGACTTCAGAACTGACCACTTTAAAAGCCTGTAGTAGCCAGCTTTCAGAAGCGCAAGAGATGATACAAAGATAAAATTTGAATCCCATCTTTAAGAGTATTGTAGTTACAAGTTTTATAAATACAATGGATGAATGGATCAACTATGGCTGTAAAATTTGAAGCTTTATTAGAAGGGTGATGTAAAAATGCGATGTCTCTTCTAATGGAGAATGTACGGTTGAAGGCCAACTAAGCTAAACTTCTAAGCAGAATTTGACTTGTTCAACAACTTCGTCAAATTATAAGATTACATGAACTCCATCTATAAAAAGTAAGAAGAAAGAATCACCTTTTGTTTGAAGATATTGCTAAAGAAGACGTCGGGGCTCCTGAAAGGTTAACAAAACCAACTCCTTCAATAGAATGGACGATTTTGACTTTGAGGTTTCTAAAGAAGACGAAATTGCTGACGATGTCCTCATCAGTAGTTCTTTGTTGTATTAGAATTTTATAAAAATTGATAGTTAGCCGCAAATCTTACATGGCCTTTAACCCGTATCTTTTAGTACAAGTTAGCAACTTAAGCATGGATATCATCTTTCGCAAGAACCTTAATTTTCGCACGGCTAAGTGTCTTCAAGACTAGCCGCTAGAGTGAACTTCTCAATCACAATGCAAATCTTTTTGCAAAGAAAGAGTCAAGTTCTATGGCTCAATGTATATTCCTCCAACGATGCATGGTAAGTGATTTCAATGATTACAAGAGAGTATTCAACTACGTAATATTCATAGAAAAATAACATAGTCATTGATTGACATGCAAAAAAAGCCCATATATTGACAACTTATTCATATTCAACACGTGTGACTTGTTGAAATATCTGTGTGAATGAAATAGGCTACTTATAATCCTAAATTATAATGTCTTAGAAAACTTATAAGATTTATTTTTCTTAAATGAAACTCATTTTTCAAGTAAAATTAAGGTGACTATAACTAATAAGATTTACTTTTCTTGAATGAATCTGACATCGATTGTTAGTCAATCACAAGCCTAACTAGTTGAGCATAAATTTAGGGGGAACAACAAAGAAATCTCCCTTGGTGAATTTTGCTAGTAAGAATCTCTAGTTAATTGACAAGTACTTGTTGACCTTCCACATATATTCCTTGGTCAATCCGAACGAGTGCAACTTGAACAATGATCAAGCGGTGCTATAGTAATTGATCGATGTGATCACTCTACTCTTTATAATTTCATATCGAATGATCATGCTAGTTGGCGGTTTATTCCATGGTTTAAAATTGCGCAATATGAGGCTCGCCTTTGCGCAATTCCCGTAAAAAACGCCTCGATGCTTACGCCTCGAGTTTTTTTTTTATGAGGCTTGCGCCTCAACTTGGTTGAGGCCCGCCTCGCCTCGCTGGCATGAGGCTTACGCCTCACGCTATATATATTAAAACTTACATAAATCTTGAAGTAAATGCCCGACATTGGACTCTATAGGAGAGGATGAAGGGGAGAGACTAGAGAGCAATTCATCATAATGATGATTCAAATGAAGAACCCCTTATTGATGACAGTGCTGATGACTTATGAGTTCTTATGTGATATGTCATTGTTATTTATTTTTGGAAATTCGACTTATAAGTTAATGAAAAGAATATTAGGATTTGGGAAAGATAGAATTTTGAGTTGAACTATATTTCATGTTGTTTTATTATTGGGATATTTTGATTTCACTTCATATCTTATGCTTTTTTATGTTTTATATTATTAACTCATTAGTATATAAAAAATTTATCATTTTATGTTTACGCAATCTTTTGATTTTGAGGCTTACGCCTCAAATCACCTTGAGGCTTACGCCTCGCCTCACGAATGAAAAACGCCTCAATACCCGAATACGCAGTTTTAAACATTGGTTTATTCACTTGTGCCTTTGCTAGTAGGTTTAGTTTTATTGCTGCAAATTTCTTGACTATGAGTTTTCTGGAGCAGATGCTTAGCTATGATCTAGTTGATGTTAGCTGATAGTTTTTTATGATGATTGGTAGTTGTTATATTCCATATTGCTTTTGAATTTTTGCTGTGATGGTTTATTGATTTGGGTTTACATTGATGCTGCTGCTCGCCACTAAACTAGAACTCTCTCATCGAGCAATACACTTGACTGGAATTACATTATTTGAAGACCATGATAATATCCAACAATCTATATTTGACTCAATCAGGCTGTCTTCCATATCTTATGAGTTCAATTTTTCTTTTTGGCTGCTTTTTGTTCCATATCACTGTTTTTAACTTGTGGATTACTAGTGGGTTATTCTGCTACCATCCGTTAAATGCAATGTGGTTTATTTTGCCTAGCAGACTCTCAGCAATTTTTACTGTCTCTGCTGCTGCTATCTATTTCTAATTTTGCTACTTTTTTGGGACTCTTAAATTCAGCCTTCTGTGATGTCCAAAACTCTTTAAAAGCTCCCTAATTATGGAGAAGTTATCCCTAATAAATTGAATTGGAAGTCTACTTGACTTTAAGAGGTCTAATTTCTATATATACCTTATTCCAAACTTTATTCTTGTTTGATGTGGGTAGATGCAACTATCATAGGATCAAAAAAAAAAAAAAATGTCTAGAACTCTGTAAGGCCAACCAATCCGTATAGTTAGATAATTAATTCCACACATTATTATTTCTTCAATCTTCCAAATTATTTGCATGGATTCTTGTCACCTGCACATTGGGCTACCCTGCCCGAATGGGGGATTTGATGGCATTGTTTTCAATTAGCAACCTAAAAATAGACACATTGTGATCAGAATGGTAAGGATAAACAGTATTTCATGTTCACATTCATAAATATTATGAAGATTGATGAAATTTGATTCATAACTAATTTCTCATATTATAGATCACAATCATCCTTAAAATTGATGAAATCTCATTTAATATGTATGTTAATGTCAAGCATTTTAAATCCTACAACTTTTGTTCCTTCAACCTTTTACTTCTCAATCAGCATAATACATACTTCTATGGCACTCCAATCTAGTTAAAACTAAAAAATAATCAACCCCTGTTCTGTATTTCTTGCAACTCTTCCTTCTCCTCCCCTGTCAATGTTTCATACAATTCAGTCTTATAAACATAAAACCTACAAACAATCAAAAAGAAGAAAAAATTACAAAAACTTAAAATGGACAGCAACCCATAGTAGTAATCAAGATGCGAAGCATTCAAATTGTTCAGAATCCATCCCTTTCTACCATTTCTCTGTGTGATGTTCGCCACTAAAGATAGCAAAAAACTGCTCAAAAAGCTCCCAACTCCATAAGTAACCAGCGAATATGCAGTCCCCAAACTCTTCATACCCTCAGGAGCTTGATGATAGAAGAAATCTATCTTCCCCACAACCAGAAAAGCTTCACTCACTCCCATAAGCACAAATTGAGGAAGCAATATGAATATGGTTAGAGGCACTCGACCTCCATTACTTGGATTCTCTCTTGCAACACTTAGTCTCCTTTTCTCTATTAGTGAAGCAACAATCATTACTGTGGCATCAAAAACAAGGCCAACTCCAATTCTTTGAAGAAGAGTGATTCCTCTTGGATTCTTAGTCCAAGCTCTCATGATTCTGACAAAGAAACGATCGTAGAGGAAGATGGTGATGAGCATGGAGATGGTGGTGAAGGAAGCAAGGCTGGCTGGAGGGATTTGGAAGTGAGGGCCAATGTGGCGGTTCAGTGTGGTGCCTTGCTTGATGAAGAGGGTGTTTACCTGTACATTTGGTTTGTATTTTCCACAGTATTAGTTGGCACTGGTATTAAATAATACAGGATGAGAAAAACGTTAAAACAAATAATCTTTTGGTTATATTTATATGTAACCATTTTAATGCCATTGATTTAATATTTTCAATTTAATCTCTTAGCTTCCAAATATTCTCCAAAGTAGTCCTTTCATTGGATTATTTTGAATTAAGGTTTCGTTTAGGACAGCTTTTGTATTGCTTTATAATATAGGGTTTTAGTTTAAAAAAAATTTAGAAAAAAAAAATTAGTACTAAAATTCTGTTTTATAAACAATAAGAAAGCTGTTTCAAATGAAACTTAAATTTGATGAGTCAAATGATTAATTTGGATCAGATTTAAGAAGTCAGGAAGTTAAATTGGACACATTAGATCGCATGAGAGTAAAATGAACCCTCATAAATAATCTAGGACTATTTTTGACCTTTTTCTTAGTTACAATATAAAAATATAAGCTAAGATCAGGTAAAGAATCATTGCTCACCTGGGCAGTCATTGTTGATGGAATGAACATGGCAATGAGGACTGGGATCAGTCTTAGCATTTGCTTTGTTTCCTCTACGTGAGTTACAGGGCATAGTTTCCAGGGGTTTCTGCTTGTGCCTACTATAACTGCTGCTTTGTTCAGAAACCTGATCATCAAGTAATAGAAATCTGTTAGGTTGGGGATCAATTGGATTACAATCAAGTGTATGAAGCGCCCGCCGATAAGGGCCTCGGGACGGGAGGGGATGAAGCATCTCATACAAAAATTTTTAGTTCTAGAAATCTTAGTATTATAAAACAGTTTTACAAAATAGTAAAAAAACTGTCCCAAACGAAAGCTTACTCAGCAAAACTATCTGAAAGATTATAAACTAATGCGAGGGATTAAAGTAGTACTTTTATCAATAAAAAATCTATAAGTTCAAATAAAAACATTGTCTGCATAAGAACGTTATTTATAGGAACATGATAGACTGACCTCATGGAGTTTGTGGAATGAATTTTAAACCTTTTTTGCTTCATATACTCATTTGAATCTAACTCATAAAGCTTCAGTGAATCCTTAGGCAGATTCACTCTACATTTTCTCATGGCAGCAACCAAAACTCTTGCCATCTTTGTAAAAGGACTTCCTTGAGGCAACTTGTGCCTGTAAAAGGAAGTCCCAGCGTAGAAAATCACCAATGAGATTCCAAGCCCAACTGTAGGGATCCCATACCCTAAAGTCCAGCCTATATTATCCTGCATTTCAAGGTGTAAATGAGTAGAACATGAATAAAGTCAGAGTAAACGATTAAAATACTCACTTGATTTTTTTTGCATGACAACTTAGAAATTCACCAAGGAGATTTTTTTGAACTAATTTGATCATACTATCAATTTTGTTGTTGCTTTGAGAAAAATTGGTTGAAAGAAGCTTTTCATGAGGATGTTTTAGACTTCTAAAGATCAACCTCATTAATATGAGCTGATACTAAGCCGGGAGATTGCTCCTAAAAAAATCAAAATAGCCTCACAGAAAGCTTTCATCCACCAATTTTTATCCAAACAAACGGCTAAGTTGACAATAGGGGATCAATATTTGACACGATCTGAAAATCGGACTCGAATCAGACCCGAAAATTTCATGTTAGGGTCAATCCGGGGTCAAGTTCGGGTTTAGCAAATCAATCGGTTTCAAAAATCGGGTTGGGTTCGGGTTGACCCATTAATTGAAATTGTCCAAATTTTGACCCGTAAAGCCAATATTAACTTGTTCTTTACCCGAAAATGAAGATTGATCCATTTTTTGACCCTAAAACCAATAATTTTATGTCGGTCCTGGGTCATTCGGGTCATGCGGGTTGACCCGGACCTGAGCGGGTCTGGTTCGAGTTCGAAAAATTGATCCGTTTACAAAAATGGGTTAGGTTCGGATTGACCTGTGAAAATTGACACCCCTACGAGTTGAACAATAGAAAAATTCTAGGACTAAAATGAACACACCTAAAAAATTCAAATACTGAATTTGCTAATTATCTTGCTGAATAATACCTTACCTGTACATAAACAAGCATGATATTGGCAAATAGAGTGCCGAGGTAGATGCTGAACATCCACCAATTGAAGAAGGAGATTTTATCTGCTCTCTCTTTGGGATCAAACTCATCGAATTGATCTGCGCCGATGGTCGAAATGTTTGGCTTGGTGCCTCCTGTACCCAATGCAATAATGTACAGTGCACCGAAGAAGATGCCGAGCTGAAGCTTCGACGCCGGCTTACAGTTTCCGGCATCCGCAATGTCTTGTATGTTGCAAGGTGGTGGCTTCAGTGATCGAAATGATACAGCTGCAGTTAACAAGCACATTCCCTGTTATTGCAGCAATTCATCTGTTAGTATTTATACTTTTGAAGACTAATAACAGGGCTCGTCATTGAAATTACCAAGAAATAAACAACAGAGAAGATACTGAAAGTCCTAAATCGACCAAGATGGGCATCAGCAATGTAAGCTCCGACGATGGAGGACAGAAAGGCAGTGCCCGTCCAGTATGTGACGTTGTTGGATGAAGCGACTGTGCCTTGATGGAGCTTCTTCGTCAGGTAAATCACTAAATTTGACGATATTCCATAATATGCCATTCTCTCGAACACCTCGTACACTGCAAGTAATCAGAAATTCAAGGTACAAACAGATAGATAAGAATTATAATATCTTGGAAATGAAAGAGGAAATCAAAGAAGAGAGAGAATTGATTACCAACAATGAAATAACAGGCAGTCCATCCACCTCTCTTTGATCTGAGAACAGGTCTGCCTTTGAGATCCACAGAGCCATCCTTAGTGAAAATTGAACTCCCCATCTCGGAGCCGTTGGCTTCTTCCATTTCTCTTCTGCTGAATTTCTTCTCTTCACTAAAATATTGATATATAAAGAAAGAGAAAGAGCAGAGACACTCGTCACCACTCATCAGTGCTTCTTATCAAATATTATTTAATGTTGAATTTATTAATTACTCGACCGTTGAATTTGACTGAAAGATGACTAGTCGGAACATGAGAGCAGCCTATAGTTGAATAAATTGCATCGCATTATTGTTTTGCTTCCAGAAACAAACTAAAAAGTCTGAGAAGTGGAAAATTCCAAGTTAGAGGCTTATCTTCGATGAAGACTATCTTCGATGAAGACAGCCAATCGTATGCAGAGAAACGTTTTTGAAGTAAGCATGACCATTTGCCTGGGATAAATTTAGAATGAAAGAAGTTTCTTTTCGTGAAGGCAAAGGCCATTTTTTTAGGGCGGGCAAATTCTTGCAATTTGTGAAGGCGAAGGCCGGTGACCTCTTGGGATTGCGAAGGCGACATGATCTTGCGAGCTGTGACTGACGGAACGAGAGGGCTTTGATCTTCGACTAAGATTCTACGAACGATGGAAAGCGGGGTGGAAAAAACTGGCGCATGATTAATAAATTTAGAGCAAAAAAGTTCTCTAATGAATAATTATTAGTTTTTCATGGTGGGCATTTGCTCCATCTTACTTAACCATGGATCCGCCTATGTTCTTAATGGTCTAAGAGTTTTACAAATTCTTCTACAATATGCAGTTCATCACCTTGACTTAGTTATTTGGAGTTCAGATCTAATCATAAGGTCATAGATTTGAGGGCTATCGTTTGCTGAGTATAAACGAACGATTCATTATCATGCTTATGCTTTTGCATGCGAGCTCTTATTCTTACAAATAGAGTAATAAAAAAAAAATCCTTTATAAATATACTATATCATTATAATAACTATTATATATTCCTATTAGAAATATTACAAGATATATATTCTAATGTTTAATTATTTTATATTCTAATATATGACAGAGAAGATTTGAGAGAATTGTCTTAGATGATTTGGTCATATAAAACGTCCGCCTTCCGATGAATAAATTCTCACCACCAATTAGCCGAATTATATATTATTATTATTATTTTATATTAAGTTACAAGTGATTAGTGACAAGAAATTTGTTGCGCAGCACAGTGCTCACCAAATGCATTTTCTTAGTTGACACCACTTTCTGAAGTATTAGTAAAGCTTCGTTCACACATCTAAGTCTCACTCTCCCTTTATTAAATTAGCGTAGAATATTGAAAGGTTATTGGAATGTCTTCTCTAGAAACAAAATCATTGACCCAAATATAAAAATACCTGCAGATCATCTATTAAGTTTGAATGGGGCCTCATAAGCACTAAAGCTAACATATGGAATAATAACAAACAACAATACAAACAATTTCACGTTTTCTTTCAATTGGATGGAAAAAATAGCCTTATCGGGTTGTGTTGGCTATTTCTGATAGGGATGCCTTTTTTGTTCGCTTGACTTTGTGAACGATACAATCAATTTGGTTGACATTTGAAGATAATGATTTAATTTTAATACTATTTATGATAGCGATTTAAGTTATTTATACTATTAAAGCCTTAGATTTATTTAAAATCTAAGTAATTATAAAAACTAATATTCCTCCCACTTCGTCTAAATATTCTATCATTACTGTATTAGGAAATAAAATTTATGGATCATTGTGCTAGATCTTTCAAGAGCGAATATTATATCTCATATATTAAATAAATATATTTCTTATTCATATATCCATATAATTTAATAAATAAAACTCATATTTATGTCATGTTCATCATTATGTTACGCCTGCTGCTCTCACGCTGGCCCAGGAGAGGCCGGCTGGACCGATCCAGGTGTTTGTTCGGCGGAAGAAACAGGGAGAGGGGGGCGGAACTCTTGTGGGCCCCATGATGGGCTTAATGTAATTTTTTGTGGGAAAGATTTGAATGTAAGGATTAATTAGATAAGTTGTAATTCTCCTTTCATGTTAATTCGGAGAATGTGAGGGAATTAGGATTATCTTAAATTTGAATGAGATTTGAGATATAGGGTTCTTGTCTTTTAGGCTCTTGGCGTTGCCGGAGATTTGGAGAGTCGTTCTTCCTCTCGAATCGATGTACACTTGTATCTTTGTTGTTTTTATTCTTCTATTAGTAGCATAAGGACGAAAGCTAACATATGGAATAATAACAAACAACAATACAAACAATTTCACGTTTTCTTTCAATTGGATGGAAAAAATAGCCTTATCGGGTTGTGTTGGCTATTTCTGATAGGGATGCCTTTTTTGTTCGCTTGACTTTGTGAACGATACAATCAATTTGGTTGACATTTGAAGATAATGATTTAATTTTAATACTATTTATGATAGCGATTTAAGTTATTTATACTATTAAAGCCTTAGATTTATTTAAAATCTAAGTAATTATAAAAACTAATATTCCTCCCACTTCGTCTAAATATTCTATCATTACTGTATTAGGAAATAAAATTTATGGATCATTGTGCTAGATCTTTCAAGAGCGAATATTATATCTCATATATTAAATAAATATATTTCTTATTCATATATCCATATAATTTAATAAATAAAACTCATATTTATGTCATGTTCATCATTATGTTACGCCTGCTGCTCTCACGCTGGCCCAGGAGAGGCCGGCTGGACCGGTCCAGGTGTTTGTTCGGCGGAAGAAACAGGGAGAGGGGGGCGGAACTCTTGTGGGCCCCATGATGGGCTTAATGTAATTTTTTGTGGGAAAGATTTGAATGTAAGGATTAATTAGATAAGTTGTAATTCTCCTTTCATGTTAATTCGGAGAATGTGAGGGAATTAGGATTATCTTAAATTTGAATGAGATTTGAGATATAGGGTTCTTGTCTTTTAGGCTCTTGGCGTTGCCGGAGATTTGGAGAGTCGTTCTTCCTCTCGAATCGATGTACACTTGTATCTTTGTTGTTTTTATTCTTCTATTAGTAGCATAAGGACGAAAGCTAACATATGGAATAATAACAAACAACAATACAAACAATTTCACGTTTTCTTTCAATTGGATGGAAAAAATAGCCTTATCGGGTTGTGTTGGCTATTTCTGATAGGGATGCCTTTTTTGTTCGCTTGACTTTGTGAACGATACAATCAATTTGGTTGACATTTGAAGATAATGATTTAATTTTAATACTATTTATGATAGCGATTTAAGTTATTTATACTATTAAAGCCTTAGATTTATTTAAAATCTAAGTAATTATAAAAACTAATATTCCTCCCACTTCGTCTAAATATTCTATCATTACTGTATTAGGAAATAAAATTTATGGATCATTGTGCTAGATCTTTCAAGAGCGAATATTATATCTCATATATTAAATAAATATATTTCTTATTCATATATCCATATAATTTAATAAATAAAACTCATATTTATGTCATGTTCATCATTATGTTACGCCTGCTGCTCTCACGCTGGCCCAGGAGAGGCCGGCTGGACCGGTCCAGGTGTTTGTTCGGCGGAAGAAACAGGGAGAGGGGGGCGGAACTCTTGTGGGCCCCATGATGGGCTTAATGTAATTTTTTGTGGGAAAGATTTGAATGTAAGGATTAATTAGATAAGTTGTAATTCTCCTTTCATGTTAATTCGGAGAATGTGAGGGAATTAGGATTATCTTAAATTTGAATGAGATTTGAGATATAGGGTTCTTGTCTTTTAGGCTCTTGGCGTTGCCGGAGATTTGGAGAGTCGTTCTTCCTCTCGAATCGATGTACACTTGTATCTTTGTTGTTTTTATTCTTCTATTAGTAGCATAAGGACGAAAGCTAACATATGGAATATTGATACCCCTACTCATAAGGACGAAAGCTAACATATGGAATATTGATACCCCTACTCATAAGGACGAAAGCTAACAGATGGAATAATAACAAACAACAATACAAACAATTTCACGTTTTCTTTCAATTGGATGGAAAAAATAGCCTTATCGGGTTGTGTTGGCTATTTCTGATAGGGATGCCTTTTTTGTTCGCTTGACTTTGTGAACGATACAATCAATTTGGTTGACATTTGAAGATAATGATTTAATTTTAATACTATTTATGATAGCGATTTAAGTTATTTATACTATTAAAGCCTTAGATTTATTTAAAATCTAAGTAATTATAAAAACTAATATTCCTCCCACTTCGTCTAAATATTCTATCATTACTGTATTAGGAAATAAAATTTATGGATCATTGTGGTAGATCTTTTAAGAGCGAATATTATATCTCATATATTAAATAAATATATTTCTTATTCATATATCCATATAATTTAATAAATAAAAATCATATTTATGTCATGTTCATCATTAAAGAAACCTTAGAATCTCAAAACATAAGAAGAACGAAGAAATAGAAAACAGATCATTCTCATTCTCCCCAAACTACATTACAGACTCCTCTTATATAGAGATAGGACGGAGTTATACATAACTGGGACAAATGACATCATGCCACGTATGCAGAGCTTAGCTGAACCAAACATTACAAAGGTATACAGGTATTAATGTATTAACGTTCTAATATTTCCTGGCAAGCTAATGGGTGACAAGTTACCGTTAGTTTGGTTCTAAGTGTAGTAAATCTTGGTGTAGATAGAGATTTGGTGAAGATATCAGCGATTTGATCAATGGTATTAATTGGTAGAAGCCGGATATTGTTGTTGTGAATATGATCTCTAATAAACTTTTGATCAATCTCTATATGTTTTGTTCGTGCGTGAAGCATTGGATTATTTGCCAATGCAATCGCGGACATGTTATCACAGAACATGTCGGTTGGCTGATCTTGAGGAATGCTGAAGTCTTGAAGCAGCCGACGATTCCATATGACATCCGCTGTTAGTGCAGCCAATGCCCGGTATTCCGACTCTGTGGAGGATCGAGCTACCGTGTGCTGCTTTTTGACTGTCCATGAGATGATGGTATTGCCGAGAAAGGAGCAGTAGCCCGTGGTTGATCTCCTTGAAACAGGATCACCCGCCCAATCGGCATCTGAAAAGGATTGAAGAACTAAGTTAGATTTTGAAATAGGTAATCCATAGTCCAACGTACCTTTGATATATCGTAGAAGACGTTTGAGTAGATATATGTGTTGGGGAAGAGGATTATGCATATGTTACGAGAGTTGATTTACGCTGTATGCGATGTCTGGACGAGTCAGAGTTAGGTATTGTAAAGAACCTGTTATCTTACGATACATTGAAGGATCAGATAAAACTGGATCTTCCGGAAAGTTTGGAGGCATTTTTGTGCATGTAGGATTGGCTAGAGCATGGCAGTCGGTTAGCTGAGCAAGTTGCAGTAGCGATTGAGCGTAGTTTTTCTGAGAGAGAAAACAGGATTTCTGAATGTAATCAATCTTGATTCCTAAAAAGTCATTGGCCACGCCTAAATTCTTCATGCTAAACTGTTGACTCAGCTGAAGTATTAGTGAAGATATTTCTTTAGAATTGTTGTTAGAAATCAAAATATCATCAACATACATTAACAAAAAAATTTGTATACTATCATGTTTATAGTGAAGTAAAGACGGATCGGCAGCACTATGTGAAAAACCGATAGATACCAGATAAGAAGTAAACGTGTTGTACCATTGCCTTGGTGCTTGTTTCAAACCGTATATTGCTTTTTGAAGATAACATACGTGATCGGGCTTGGCTGGATCTACAAATCCTTGAGGTTGAGCCATGTATACTGTTTCTGTGAGATTGCAGTGTAAGAAGGCGTTCGCCATGTCCATTTGATGAACGATCCAGTCATTGTGAAGAGCCATTGTGAGAAGCACACGAATGGTAGGTAGCTTGGCCACCGGGCTGAATGACTCGGTGTATTCAAGACCATATTCTTGATTGTTCCCTTGAGCTACAAGTCTCGCCTTGTGTTTTGCTATAGTTCCATTCGCATGCTTCTTTATCCTGTAAGTCCACTTACAACCGAGTATTGAGGAGTTAGGTGGTGGTTTAACTAGCGTCCATGTCCCATTTTTCTGTAAAGCATAAAATTCACTGTTCATGGCTATTCTCCATTCAGGATGTTTTGCTGCTGTATTGTAATTAGTTGGAGTAGTATCCGTATCTGAAGAAGGTTGAACATGTAGCAGGTTTAACCGAGATGTTGGTTTAAGGGAGCCTGTTTTGGCTCTTGTAATCATACGGTGTGTAGGAACGGTAGAATGCTGGGTATCTGTATCCAGAGCTGGTTGCTCAACAATAGGCTGATTGAATTGTGTTTGACAAATTTGTTGTTGAGGTTCTTTGTTGACAGTAGTTGGTGCTTTTGCAGTGCTGGTATGAGCTATAGTGGGGTTCGGTTGCAGCAGGAAGGGCATTGTTGGTGCTGCAGGTGGACTAAATTTCGGAGCCACTGTTTTAAAGGGAAATGAATGTTCGTTAAATTCAGTGTGTCTTGAAATGTAGATTTTGTTAGTAGATGGATCAAGACACTTGTAACCCTTGTACGTATCGGAGTACCCAATGAAAATCGCTGATTTGGATTTGGGCTGCAATTTATGATGAGTATGAGGAGGAAGAAGGTAGAAACATTCGCACCCAAACGTTCTAAGGTGATCATATCTAGGTGCGGTTTGATGAAGAATTTCAAACGGAGATTTCTGATTGGTGATTGGTGATGGCATTCTGTTAATAAGGTAGATTGATGTAAGAACTGCTTCCGGCCAGTAACAGTATGGAACCGCCGCTGTATGCAGTAAGGTCCGAGTTGTTTCGATGATATGACGGTGCTAGAGTTCAGATACACCATTATGTTCAGGCGTATACGGACAAGAAATTTGATGTGCTATGCCATTGGTTTGCAGGTATTGCTTGAAGTCATGATTAACATATTCCATTCCTCCATCGGTCCTGATCATTTTAATAGTTTTGGACGAATATTTCTCAATTTGAGTGCGAAAAGCAGTAAAAATAGTAAACACTTCATATTTAGTTTGCATAGGAAATATCCAAGAAAATCTAGAAAAATCATCTACAAATAATACGTAATAACGAAAACCTTGATTAGAAGTCACTGGGGCCGGTCCCCAAACATCCGAATGGACAAGATCAAGAATAGCATTTGTATTATGTAAAGACTTTTCAAAAACAAGTTTATGACTCTTAGGTTCTTTGCAAGAAGAACAAGAAACAGAAAATTTGTTTATACTGAAATGAGCAGTTCTATTAGCTATAGTTTTCATGGCCCGTTCATGGGGATGGCCAAGTCTCTGATGCCAAATATGAGCATCCTGTGTAGTGCCCGCTAATGCCGTAGGAGAAGGTTCTTCGGAGACCATCTGAATGGGATACAAACCATTCTTACAGGGTCCGTGAAGAAGTGTTTCCTGCGTCTTCAGATCCTTCAAAACGAAGCCAGACAGATTAAACGTAATCGAGATATTGTTATCTCGAGTTAATTTGGAAATAGATAGTAAATTAAATCTGAGTTCAGGAGAATGAAGAATATTAGACAGTTTCAGCTTACGTGTTGGGGTCGGTAGCAAACCAACCCCTGAGTTCGCTATGTTGACTGATCTGCCATCTGCCACAGTGATAGTTTCAGGCCCATTGTAAGCGGATGAGAGATGCAAATTGTCCAGCGAGTTTGTTAGATGTGCAGTGGCCCCAGAATCTAGGAACCATTTGTTTTGGGATTGATCGGATGTAGCCGCCAGCGCCTTGGGTTTAGACTGAACCTGTGGGACGTATTGGGCATTCATACGATGCCAGCAATCCGACGCCGAATGTCCCTTTTTGAGACAAATCTGATAGGTTGTGGTATTAGCTGGTTGCCTTGCTGTAGAACCAGTTTGTTGCGACAATCGACCACGATTGGGACGCCCTCTGCCACGGTAAGCATAGAGTGCCAGATTGGGATCGGGAAAGGAAGAATTTCTGGCAGCATCAGATGCAATATTTATTTCTTCACTGAGAAGAAGAGGATACATATGGTCTAATGTGATCGGGGTAAGCATCGTGCGAAAAGCCGTTTTAAAGGCCTGATACTGAGGAGATAACCCATTGAGGATATACATGATAATGTCCTCATTGTCGATCGAATCTCCTGCCGCTGTGATTTGGTCGACAAGAATCTTGATATCAGTTAGATACTGATTCATTGTAAGATTCTTTATCGAGATATTGTGCAGAGCGTTCTTTAGTTGAAGAACTTTAGAGCGATTGGTTGCTTGAAACCTGTTTTCAAGAGTAGACCATATCGCTGCAGTTGACGTTAGATTTATAACGTATGGAGGATAGATGCCGAAATCGTTGAGTAGAGAGAGGCGGACAGATTTTGGTCCGTTAGATTCCATTGCGCAGACTGAGTTTGCGTTTGATTGGATTCAGCGGAATGAGACGAAGCAGTGGAAGAAGAACATAAAGACGAGTCAAGAAATTTAGCAAAACCGTTTGCGCTAAAAATTTTAAGAATTTGAGATCTCCAGACGGCATAGTTGTCTTGATTGAGTTCGGTGGAGACGATGCTCTTGATATTAGAGACAACGAATTTGAGACTTGCAGGGATGGTTGGTTCCTCTTGCTGCATCCTCTGCGTGTCTTCTTGAATCGCCGACGAGGAGAAGTTCGGCATTATTTGCGACTTTGATCGCCCGCTCTTGATACCATAAAGAAACCTTAGAATCTCAAAACATAAGAAGAACGAAGAAATAGAAAACAGATCATTCTCATTCTCCCCAAACTACATTACATACTCCTCTTATATAGAGATAGGACGGAGTTATACATAACTGGGACAAATGACATCATGCCACGTATACAGAGCTTAGCTGAATCGAACATTACAAAGGTATACAGGTATTAATGTATTAACGTTCTAATAATCATTATGTTACGCCTGCTGCTCTCACGCCGGCCCAGGAGAGGCCGGCTGAACCGGTCCAAGTGTTTGTTCGGCGGAAGAAACAGGGAGAAGGGGGCTGAACTCCTGTAGGTCCCATGATGGGCTTAATGTAATTTTTGGCGGGAAAGATTTGAATGTAAGGATTAATTAGATAAGATGTTAATTCGGGAAATATGAGGGAATTAGGATTATCTTAAATTTGAATTAGATTTGAGATATAGGGTTCTTGTCTTTTAGGCTCTTAGCGTTGCCTGAGATTTGGACAGTCGTTCTTCCTCTCGAATTGATGAACACTTGTATCTTTGTTGTTTTTATTCTTCTATTAGTGGCATATAAGTGAATTGCTTGGTTTGGTTTCAGTTTTCCATCCGATTTTCTCTATTTAGTGTTGTTTTCTGCTGCAAACAGCAATAATTCTGTTGTTTGCTCTTCCGTTTTGGTTAGGTTTGCTTGTGAACTCAAGTATTTCCTATCAAATTGGTATCAGAGCATCGATTTGGGACCGTCGGCAACTGAAATCCTAAAATTTCAGCGGGATTTTTTTCTTACCGGAAAAAGATCTTCGTTATTCTTGGGAAGATAGCTGTTTAACTATAAAACTCAAATCACATCCAACAATGAAAGGATAGAGAGGAAATTCACGGTGATGGAAGAAATATTGAAAAAACTGTTGGAGTTGAAGACAATCTTCAGCTAGAAGTTTCTCACAACAGCTAAAACATACGGTTTCAATCTTATGTATATAATGTGTGTGTGATTTATCTTAATTGACCTAAAAATTTTTTAAAAAATATTTACTATAATTAATAACAATATATGAACACTTCATATATCCTCATCACATCCATAACAATGTTCTTTTTTACATATATTTGCCATGGCCAAACCCAAACCAACCCATTCATCTCATCAACATACCAACTCCTGAAAAAGAATAATAATAAAAAATTATGCGTTTTTAATTATTATTTTATTCGATACGACTTAATATTAATAATTAAAAACTATCAATATTAAATAATATCAACAAATTTCTGACTCTAAACGGGAAAAGTACCAAGCAATCAAAAATTATCTGATCAGCAATTAAGATAAAATTCTTAAAAATTTTAATTTTATTTTTAAAATGAATATAGTATAAAAATTAATATTCATTTTAGAATAAATTTAAAAATAATAAATTTATCTTAATTAAAATTTGATCACTTCCTCTTGGCCATCTGAAACGTCCTCTTCAAGAACCGGTTAGCCACCTCGTCGTCCCTGTGACAGATCACACGCAAAATGGTATTGGGATCCGATCTGTTCCACTTCCCCGTCGTCGGCGGCATGGGCACCTTATGCGCTCCGATCCCACTCGCCTCGCACGCCACCGTCGTAAACTCCTCCAGCAATTTCTCAGTAGGCAAAGCCATGAGGGCCACGATCCCCTCCGCCACCTCCATCTCTTTCTCCACTACCTCCTCTGCCACCAACCCCTCACCCGATGTGCAGAAAACTCGCCGCAAACTCTCCAAATCCTCCGCGACCATCTCGCTGTCACCCCGCCCGAAGGCTCTCTCGCTTCCGCCGGCCAACAACACCATCAAAAAGGCTTCTAGTGCCGCCTTCATCACCTCCCGCACCGCCACCGGCTGAGCCCTGTCGGTTAAAATTGTGACGATGAAGTTGAGGTTCTGTTTTAGCAGGCGGAGTGAAGGGCGGATTCGGGCGGCGGCGACGCCGCCGGCGTAGAGGCCTTGGTAGAAGGCTTGGTGGGAGTCGACGAAGATGAGGCGATAGGCGGCCACTTCGGAGACGTGGAAGATGGCGGATTGAAGGGAGGAGCGGGCGAGGTCGAAGCAGGTGGGGGCGATGCGGCGGCGGGAGGTGGAACCGGGGCCGGCGAGGCGGGGGTGAGGGGAGCGGGAAGAGTTTCGGCCAAAGAAAGAGAGGGATTTGTCGATGGAGTGGAGGACGGCGAGGACGTAGTGGAGGGAGTTGAGGCGGATGTAGAAGCGTTGGGTGGCGCGGCTGGTGGAAGGGCGGGGATGGTGGCTTTCGGCCGGAGTGGGTTTCTTTCTGGTTTTGGGATGGACTAATCCGATCAAGGCCTGAGCTTTCTTCCATAGAGTGGTGAATCTTGAGTCCTGGTTGCATCTGGTTAGCGGTGGGAGGTTGGGGATGTAGCTCTGCTTCGTCCCTGCAACCAAGAGCGTCAAGTAACGAAGAAAACAACTAGCTGGAAATTTAGTGAATAAATAACATCAGTTGCTTACCGCAGGAAGCAACGAAGGAAGTGTAATCCTGGAAGAGGTTTTCCAGGCCATCGGCGAGTTCCTGAACCAGCTCTTCCCTTGCAGCCACCGGTATTTCAAAGAACTCATCCACTGTTACTTTAGCAAGCTTCATCAGATCAACTGCAGACTGTGCGTAGGGCTCTGATTTGGATTTTCGGTTCCAGGTCTGTTCAATATAATAAATCTTTGCCGTCAGTTAATTCACACGAGATTTCTCTATAACACCCATGATTTGACGTACTTCTTCATGAAAATGCTAAAAAAATCATTTGATGACAAAATCAACTAACAAATTTGAAACAATATAGTTCATTCCAACAGAACATTCTCTGCAGCTCTAGCATTGATCTCCAGACAGTCAATCCAGAACCTCTGGCATTGTAGACTCGGATCTCCCTCCTACTTTACTACTTTTTAGTCTAGCAAAGAACATTTCTGCTATGTGTAATTCATCTCTAAAATGTATATCATGAACTTCTTGCAAAATATCTAAATGTCATCATCTACCATTTCAAGCATCTACTTCACATGTTTCGAGCTTTCACCAACACTAAGGCTTCCTTTGGGATGGCTCTTCTTGCATTTTAAAATAATTTTTTAGTACAAAAATTTTTTTAACTAGAAAATTGTTTAAAAAAGCTGTGCGAAAACTGTCCCAAACGAAACCTTAATGATTATAAATATTGCATGTATGGTGCATTATTGTTGAGGGTTTAAATTTCGAAAGTTTCCTAACTATTCATATATGTCCATTTTAGTACTAGAATATAACGTTGCTCTAATTTAGTCTCTCAACAATACAAAATTAATTCAAAATCATCCATTTGGAATTAATTGAGATCAATTTTATATCACAATTATAACAAAAGAGATTACTTTAAATTAATTTAACACAGTTGAGAAATTAAATTGAGACAACCTAATACTTCAAAACTAAATTAACCACACACAAATATTTTTTTTTCTGTATAGACGAGTGTTTTCATTGTTTATGAAATCCAAAATATAAGTCAACTTAATATTAATAAAAAAAAAAGATTGTGTTTCAAGAAATTAAAACAGTTGATTGAGTTAGGTAGAGAATACCACAATTATTATAAATTTGAACAATGTTCATTAAAAAATTATCCGTTGGATGCAAGAGGTAAGTGAGGAATTCACCAACCTCTGTTTCCTTTGCTCTGCTGAAGCACTCCCTGCCAATTCTCAGCCTTCCCGTTATCCAATTCTTCATCAGGCTAAGGATAATGGAGTCCACATCGTAGAGCACCATCTCCCTCACGATAGCCTTACCTCCATCATCGCAGTTGGCTGAGTCCTCCACCACCATCTGTACCAGCGTCTTCTCCAGTTTTCCGGCGGTCTGAAGAACCCGAACAGTCTCATTTTTCAGTCCAGGGATTCTAGCCAAGTACTGCTTCAACACAATTCCGTAGCAGCTATGGAGTGTCGCCACCGCCACGGCCATCGAACCAGGATGCCATCTCTGGAGCACCGGACTGTAAGTCTCCTTCTCGAGGGCCACCAAGGTCTCTGTGTCTTTGGCTAGATGCACTAGAGTCTCGCTAGGTTCTTCGTCTACCTCCACCACCATGCTGTCCACGTTCCCGTTCCCGTTCTCTAGTATCTGATTCAAGCCAAGAACCCGTCAAAAAATGTTTTTTGTGTTGATGCGTGTAATGAGTTTGATAGAATGACGCACCTTAGTGAATGCGCTTTTGAGGGAAGACTTTATGTAGCGTTCGATTGGGGACACCGCAGAATTGATGACCTCGCCATTGCCGTCTTCATCGGCTGAGTTTCGTTGGTCGTCGTTCATGATTTTGGCTGTGGTGAGAGCCAGCGAGAGAACCTTCTCCATGAGCGCAACGGAACATTTCCCGCGGAATACAGTGTGGTAATCAAGCAGCTTCCTTTCGGCCCACGCTAGCATCGACGACATCACCGGAGAAAGGACTTTGAGGAATTCTGCCTCTTTTTTGGCTTCGGTGGCGATTTCGCCGAGGATGATCAGTGACGCGCCGAGCAGGTCCTGCTCGATCTGTCCTGTCTTTACGTACTGCTCGAACATCGTCCAGGCCAGGCAGACATTGTGTGTCATCTTGTTGATGCCAAGCGTAATCCATGTCTTCTTCATCAGCTCGATCAGCTCGTCGACCTCCTCGAGCACCACGGTTTCGTCGCGGAGGTCGAAGATGGATCGGAGGAGGGAAATATAAAGGTGGATGTTAAGGGGGAAGCCGTCGGCCCAATGGCAGGCCTCAGCAGGGGATCCATTGGAGTTCCGCCACGCGAGGGAGACGACTGCATTGCAGAGAGCTTTAAGGGATTCGGAATTCTTGCTGTTGTCGATGGGTTTGAGCTCGCCGGAGCGAATTACCTCACGGAGGCGCAGTGCCGATGAGTTGAGGCGATCAAGGGGGATGGAAGGGTGATGGAGCAGGCCGGCCTCGAGGATCTTCAGCTGCCGCCGTTGCCACTGATGGTATTCCTGCGCGTCGCTGAATTCCGATGGTTTTAGATGCCTCAAAAGCTCCAATGGGAGGATGATGGTCTCCGCTCTCTTTGCGGCCTGGCCGACGAGCGTGCGCATTATGGTTTTCCGGAGGCGGTTGTCGCTCTGCTCGGTGACCCCCATTTGCTGCCGCATGATCTCCGCGGAGGTCATGGGGCGCTGCTTGAGCCGGCCGGCACCGGGGGATGAGGCTCCGGCGGCCCCGCCTACCGATACGACGGGTGATGAGGAGTGTGCGCTCATGACGCGCATCGGTGGCGAGCCGCGACGGGTGCGGAGGCCGAGTGCGCGCTTGATCCTGCTGTTGACGACCATAATGCCGGTGCCGGAGGTAGCCGCGGTGTTACCTCCTTCCGGGGATGGCTGGTGATGGTTTGAAGGGTAGAATGAGAGGGGGTTTCTACCGCCGAAGCCGGGTGAGGAGCGGCATGAGGCGAAGAAAATCTCGTAAGCCGTTTCGCGGAGTTCGCCGCGATCGACGGCGTCGATTCTTCCGAATGGCCATTCGACATCGGCATCGCCGGCTTCGGAGTCGTGCCCCACGGAAATGGTGAAGTCGGAGAAGGAGGAAGCGGAGGGATGATGGTGGGCCATACGCGCGGCGGCCGCGGCAGCGCGGCGTAGGAGGGCGGTCAGGTCGTGACGGCTGAAGGTCGAATCGAAGGCAAGTCGATGTGGGGCCTACCGCTTCTTTCTGTTCATTATATTTTTTTCCTTTTTATATAATTATTTTTAAGCGGTTCTGTTGAAGCGTTGGATAGAAAAACAGCTAAATTTTTTCTTGGCCGATAGCTTTTCCAACAACTGGAGACAGCAAAGAAGATCCGATTGTAGGTTAGGGCAGCTTAAATTTAAGGGGGATTTATAGATTTCTAGCATTTAAAATTATAAGATTTATGTAGTTAACGTCCAAAATATATTATTTATGCAATATAGGACTTCGTTAATGAAGTTGACAAAAGTCTAGATGAATTTCATCAAAAACTAGACAATCATGATGGGATCTCACTAAGATCTCGTTTGAAACGGATTAATTTCACCTTTTATGTTTCAAAATGGCACAATTATTTTTTCGTTTTCGTTTGTATGTGACGTTTCTGTAGAAATACTTTTTACGGAACGTCATTTTTCTATTATTTTGATAAGCTTTTTGATAATTGCTTCTCCGGTAGAAACATCTATTTCCTCAACCACCATTTTTAAAATTATCTTTTACAAAAGGTATCAGACACCCAAACAAAGCCTAAGAGAGAAGTCTCCATGCAACTTTTGTGTACACCCAAGCTCTTTTGTGCACCTTGGCCTACCACTTTCTTCTTTCCCTTGCATTCCTGCCTGCAAACCATCTACGACAAAAGAAGCGTGTAAGTTGTCATTAGAGCTTGCTATTGATAATATCGCTAGGACTAAAGTCATATTAAAGAGAAGTCATAATAGGAGCTAGTTATGGAGACATCAATGAAATCACGACTCATGAAGAAGAAGAAGAAGAATAGGAGGAGAAGCTTGTGAGATGTGTCTATCCATCTAATTAATGCTTGAGTCGGGTATATTCATGCATAAGACAACATTGTTAGCAATTTCATCATTGAAGACCTATCCTTTGTCATTGGTGATGGGATTGTAATTGAGAGGATGATAATTATGTTCTTTTTTAAATATAATTTATAAGGTTTGAATGCTATGTATTATTTAGTTTGATTTTGAATTGGGTAAAGCTTTGTTATCCTAATATGCAGATCTATACAAGTTTAGGAAGTTACATGGACTCTCTCTCTCTCACACACACACATTCCCTTTGTCAAGTTTTTGTTAGTCTTAAGAGGTAGGTTAGCTGACCTCTAATGATAATAAAAAAAACCTTTAACTCAAATGCCATTTATTTAACCCAAAAAAAAACATGGACTCAATCTGAAAATTAATTAAGTCAAGATTTTAGACCCGTAGACGATCGATTTTTTGAGTCAGGTTAGGATAGGTCATATATTGACACCTCTAATCCATATAAAAACTTAATTTAAAATGAGTGTAATATAGAAATATTCAATCTAACTCTTATATTATATTTATCTCAAAATATATAAAAGCTCATGAGGTTGTTGACAACTAAGGATTAATAACTTTTACTTAATTTAAAACCAAAGCAAATGAAAAAGGCCAAACTATTAAATACAGTTAATTTTTGGTGAATTTCAAATTTGCTCTTTAGTTCTTTTTTTATGCATTCAAAAAGCCGCCGCCATCATATGTAGGCTACACATCACCGACACCTGCCACCCATCACCTCGGCAACCTGTTATTGTCAACCACCCACAGCCTAGCATCATTGGCCATCCATTCCTATTGCCACCACTCGCTGCCTGGCATCATTGCCTGACTCCGCTATCAATGATATTCATCATTATGCTTTACACTGCATCTATTTTATTTCAAAACAAATAAAAAATAATCACATACATTTGTTTCACATTCATCAAACCAATTTCAAATATATCAAAAACATTTACATTGCATTCCAGTTTATTCTGACATTTCTTTTCAAGCAAACCAAATAGCCCCTAAGATATTTTTGTATTCCAACACTACATCCACCCCGGCGCTTCAAAATGTTTGGAGCAGTAGGAATTTATGCTACCTGAAAAAAACTAGAATCGTTAATTCATCTGTATGATGAAGAACTACTACTATACCTATTAACAAATGCCATAGTAAATAACCAAAGAGATTAAGGTTTGGGAAACTTGCAGCATTGGGATAATCATAAGAGATTAAGGTTTTTTTGTCATTATATACATTTTAATCTATTCTACCATTTAGTAGCAGTTTTAACACCGGTTAAAAGCACAGCTAAAGTCTTCCTACAGCAACACTTATAAAACCACAGTTAAAGTCTTTCCAGCGAACGCAAATACAGCGGATGTGTAGCGGTTGTTTAAACCGCTGCAAATAAATTAATAAGTGCTTAAATCGCTGCAGTAGCTCCTACAAAGTATTAGGAAAATCCAATTTATTATTAGTGAGCCATGCATGCGATGCATAATTAATATACTGCGCAGACTGCTCTGTAAGAATGAATGAAGTGAAAGTATTGTATGGAATATATATGTAATTAGTACTCGTGCGTGCATGACTGCTTTCCATATAGCCAGTTGATCGATAAACATGCAAAAGATGATTTCTACTGGTACTTTTGGGACCGACGTAGTGCTATTAATTATATAATTAGTTTAAATTAACTATAATTAGATTAGCCGAAGCTACACACATCATGGCAAATAATCACGTTTATTTGTTGTAATTATACTAAATCTTAGAAAGGTTATTAAACTATTAATCCGTTTCAAGGGATTTGTTAAAATTAATTTGAAATAACAAAATAATCTAATTAGAGCTTCATTTGAGATAGTTTTCTTACTATTTTTTAAAGTAACTTTTTTGTTAAAAAAATTAGTTTAAGAAATTTGTGTACTACATATCTATAGTACTAATAAATCAGCACTTTTTAGGATGTAATGCAGTGGTTTAAACACATACTAATTTATTTAGCAGTGCTTTAGCTGCTAAATGATAGAATATATATATAATGACAAAAAGACAAATTTTATGATCAAATTACAAATTATAACACAAAATTTCACTCAAATATTATATGAAGCATAACGCATCATGCAATATTTTATTTAAAGAGGAACTTAATTTCCAACATTACACATAAATCAAAAGTGAAAGTTGTATTTGAAGGAATTATAGAAGTAATACATCATTTTGCAATTTCCATTTTAAATTGCATAATTTTTGTTAAACTATGCCATAGCTTTAAACCTTTTCAATGAGGCCAAGAACATCCTGATTGTTAATGAACTCAATATAACCATAACCAGTTAATTTCCTCTTTTATACATTCTTCCTGCTCCATTTTGAAAACATGATGTACAAAAATCAATTGATAGATAAGAACTATATTGTTCAGTGATAAAGAAGAAAGTTGTACTTCTACCTATATTAGAATATTTAGCATAAATAGAAAAGAGAATCAATATTTTCTTCTTCCTAACCTAAAATCAAACATAAAAATTTGCATCAATTAGTATCTAAAAAATTTGACAATCAATATTTCCTTCTTCCAATTCTCAAATCAACTACCAAGCTACAGTGCGTCATTTGTGTACCTTCCCCTAAAGGGAATTAGGGATTGACACTGTTCTTTGCATGATTTCGGCATCAGGATGGATGATTTTGACGTCGTGATGGGTGGCTTCAGTATCACGATGGGTGAATTCGGCATGGATAATTGTTGAATGGAGATCTAGGAAGACGAAGTTGCGGTCAAGAAGAAGAATGAGCGGCTACGACACGAAAGGAGGAGATAGCATATTTATGAGCAACGTGCCTTAGCCAGCAGTTTGCAAACCGCTGCTACAAAATATTGTGGTAACTTCAATTTTTTTATGGTGAATTTAGCAGCGGTTAAAACCGCTGTCTATATATGTCTATAGCAGTGGTTTTAAAACCGTTGCTTTAAATTGCTGCGAAAACATTAACTTTTTGATAATGACTGTGTTTTAGAATACAATAAAAAAGTTGTCTCATACAAAAGCCTAAATAAGCTGATTGTACAATTAAGGATTTTACACATTCAAAAGTGCATGGATTAATTTTGGCTTAACATTCCCATATATTATTATTATTTTCTGAGTTATGACTCGCACTGATTAATATTTTTTACTTTAAAAACACTAAATATTAAATTTATATTTTTAATCACTAAAATAATATATTTAGCCACATCTTTTTATACTTTACTCATTTGTTAAATGTAACTTTTCATCATTCAACTACTCTTTACTCTTCTAATTGTTTTTTTATAGAGGCTTTAATTAGAAATTTATAAAAATATGGTTAAATAATTTGCTTAGTTAAACAATGCAAAATCACACTCTAAAAAATGTATTCTATCTAATTTAAGAATTTTAAAAATGAGATGACACAGGTGTTATAATTCTAAACAATACTATGGATACTCTTGAATTTGTTATAATAAGCATTTCGATCAATTTATTCAAGGCTAGAAATTACAGTTTCATTTGAGACAGCTTTCTTATTACTTCATAAAACAGCTTTTTAATACAAATATTTTTCGAATTAAAAATTATTATATTAAAAAACTACTTTAGAAAACATAAAAAAGTTGCCTCAAAAGAAGCCTAAGAAAGGGACGTCTTACTTAAAACATTCTATTTGTCCCAAAGGAAGTCTAAGACAGAGAACTATTACTTAAAACTTCCTATTTGTAAGAAAAATTTATTAGATGTTGATGATGAACATGAAGTTGCGTCCATCATTCAACCTATAAAAGTTATATAAATATAAAATTGAAAAAAAAAAATCAACCTAAGCAATTGTATACATATGACATATTGTTATTAGTCATAACAAATATAGTCTATGTCCGTGATCGACGCCTAATAATTTTTTATTCATGAGACCTTTTATCTCCACACTAAATTTTTGCCTAACTCGTCATTTTACTCATATTACCCCTAATGTTTTCCTACTAATCGAATATGATAATTGCATCATCAGCCTGTGTTTTGCACATCCAACCTCTAAATTTGCAAACTATTTATTAATTCTTATTAAAATAAAACTCTTTATCATTGCATCACAATTAGTTTATCATCAAAAATGTACTTTTAAATTTCTTCTATTTTTTACTACATTTTTTTAACAGAATGACTATTTTGATCAACTCAAGTTATCCATCAACGCTACATCCTCCTTTGATTTTCAATAATCGAAATTCCCCTTAGCCTCTTTTCAATAGAGGATCAATCAAACTACATTTAATAGCCTACTCAACTTCCACATATATTTATCTCCCTTTCTCTAGTTTTTGCTATCTTTCAATATAAAAGAAAACAAATTTAACTATCTCAAGTAGCCTCCAAGACATTCCCACTGGCTCC